AGGATTGCTCAGAGAGGTTAACAAACACAAATACAGGTATCTCTGTGGCTCTACCTGAGTCATCAGTCTGTCAGCTCCCGTGTTCTCTTCATCCTTAAAAATAATGTCAGGGTTGTAATTTGGGGTTAGTTCTTTAAATCTCTCGGAGTTTCTTGTGATCTTCCCTTCATATCTTCCACTGGCCCCTAGGGTCTTCTCTGCCACATTGGGAATAAACTGCTTATAGGCTAAAGGGGTCAGCTTTTTGGGGTGTCTCCTTTTTCCAATGCCCCTGCCTGGTCCACAAGTCAGCCCAGAGGAGACTAAAAGAGCGCAGATGAAGCCCACCAAGAGAATTCTTGTCAACAGCAGCATTTCGTCCATTGAATCCAATTACTTCAAAGCTCTCTGTGCCTATCCCTGGCTGTCTCTCTAGAGCTCTCTCTCCTCCTATGTCCTTGTCTGCTTTCTGAATCGTATGCTATCCACCGATCCCTAGCAAGACAGGTGCTGGAATGGCAGGCTTTAGGTCGCTGATAACGGAACACATCGGAGTTTGGTCGGGAGACAGCAAGCGAGAGACAAAAAAAGGGTCTGATTTTAATGGTAGCAAAGCAAGACGCTTGTGAGAGGAGTCTGCCTTTAGTTCTATATTATAGCTGCCAGGGCCGGGAGCTGATTGGCCAAGGCGAGACAAGCTTGTCTTCTGATGTTTTAACCCTCAAAAAGGCAACAAATTCTTGAAAGATTTTTTTTTTTCCCTTTTACCTGAAGGGCTTGGAGCTGAGAGGGGTGGAGATCGCGCTTTCTTGGGATAACATCAATTACACGCTGGTTTTTTTTTTTTTTTTTTGGGGGGGGGGTTGTTTTTTTTTTTAAAAAAAAAACTTTCTTGGCAGAATGGTACATTTGTCAGCAAGAGGAACAAATGCCTCTGTGAAAAAGGAGGGAAAAAAATAAATAAGATTAGCAGGCTGCCTCAGTGCAAGTCAAGTTTCTAAGGGCAGTTGCGGTTAAATAAAGTGCCGAATTACCGGGGAGCCGTGCAAATAGAAACGTTTTGGGGAAATATGAACGCCCAGGGGGGGAATAACGCCATGTAAGAGCGCACCCACCTAAGTGGCTTTGTAACAGGTTCCTTCCCCCTGAAAGGGGAGATTGCTCTCCCTCCTGAAGATATACGGTTTTAAACGCACTCGCCTTTTGGCTGATAAATGACTACTTTAAAGGCAGAAAACAAGTCTGATGCGAGGCAGCAGTCACATGAAGCCAGCGTGTCTGACTTGGGCATCACACAACTGCAGGGTGGAGAGATCTAAATGGCACTTTTTTTTCTTTTTCTTTTTTTTTTTTTTTTTAACTAACCCGGATTATCACCCGGTTTAAAATAATCTAGCATCTTCAGAAGTGCATGAAAAGTCACCTGATTAAAAATAGGTGGTCTGCTGAGCACGCTGGGGCTGTATTCTTTGTTTCTTTGCTCCAAGTCGAAGAGGAGCGGTTTAGACCCTTACACCTCCTTGCGGGGTGTCATTAAGTTTTTAAGAAAAGCACGGTGTTGAAAGCATCCGCAAACACAATTAACAGAGATCGATCCAAGCAAAGTGAATGCAAAGGGGCTAAGTTTAATGTTAAATTAATTGTTATCTCATGCAGCGTGGCAAGTGATGTCTTTATCCCGATCTCCAAAAGCTACTAATCAGACAAAGGTGTTGAGAGACGAGCAAAATTGCAGAGATGGGGCTGATAGAGCAGGTTAGGCAGAAAAGCAGGGTCCCATATGAACAAACACTTCTCTGCCTGCAAAGAGCGCCTAAGAAAATACAATTTGTCCCAGGATCTAGAAACTTTCAGGAGCTTTTTTGTAGGAGTTCTTAAAAATGCCAGGACCACATGCTGAAGTAATTCAAAGTCCACTCTTTCAGAGGGGGAAAAAAAAAAAATCAACTTTATTTAAGGTGTTTAAAAAAAATAAATAAAAAAAATCTCTTTAGGGCGAGCAATTATATGGGAGTTTTCCGGTCTGTGACATCGAGCTGAGTCGTAATCAACTTAAACCATGCGAAAATGGCCTTTAAAATTAGTTTTTAAGTGGTAAAGAAGTTGTATATCCGTAAACTGTACCAAGCAGGACAGCACGGACTTTTCAAGGGACCAAGTGGGCTTTTTACGTAAACTTCAGAAAGTAGCCAAAAGAAGTGAGCCGAAGCTCTCGCACCGGCTCTGACCCGTGCTCTTCCCTCTTTTTTAGCCTCTGCTTTTTCTTCTGCTATTTATGTTTCTTTGTCGAGGTTCGGTGAATCATTGATTTCTCTTTCCGAGCTTTAAAGGTAGGAGTTTTGACTTGAGAATGGGTAAAAAGTTAGAAAGTCAGCAGCTTGGCTTCCAGGTTTTTATCAACCAACTTTACTGCAGAAACAAGTTGTACACAGCTAAATACCTGCTTCATGCTCTCAAAAAACAAACTGAAGTTTTATCTCCCCGTCTGCGTGCATGTGAGAAGACAGATACAAGGAATATATAATTGATACAAAAGAGGGTATGTTCTTTTGATGTGGTTGCCTAAACAGCATGACTTGATATAACAGTTGATTAAACAGTGCCAAGGAATAAAAGCTGTTCTTTATGGTGTGGGATACTGCAAATCTTTTATCGCCCCTCTTACCTTGCCCCCCCCCTCCCCAAGGAAAGGTGATCGATATCCCAGGCACTAGACGGGTGGAACATCGCGGTGAAGAAGTATAGAGAATAAGGATAAACTCCCTCATTATCAGATTGCCATATGTACAAAGCAGTCACCCAAAGATTAACAGGAAAGGAAACGCAAAGAAGGAATTAATTAAATGCAAGTAATAAATGCGCGGGGAGGGGGGCGGGGGGGCACAGGGAGAAATCAAGAAAAGTTGTAACTGTGGGAAGCTCGGGATCGCCCTCCTATCAAATTAGATGTGAAAGAAAGCAGAGCTGGGGGGTGCGGGGAGGCTCTG